GTGTCATGTTGCTGCTGATCTGTGTCATGTTGCTGCTGATCTGTTTCATGTTGCTGCTGATCGGTGTCATGTTGCTTCTGATCGGTGTCATGTTGCTGCTGATCTGTTTCATGTTGCTGCTGATCTGTTTCATGTTGCTGCTGATCTGTTTCATGTTGCTGTGTTCATTCGTACTCATCTGCTCACACAGACTCATGTTCGTGCTGCTGTTCGGTGTATTGTTTTTATTGCTTTTATTGGTTTTATGCTTTTAGTGCTTAGTGCATTTTTAGTTGACATTTTTCTTAGTTCATATCTTAGATGTTATCAATGTTTTTCTTTTATATTTTATTGTTGGATGTAACTGGGACCCTGTTTACACAATGTCGTTCCACCACATGTACCACATGAGGTGGAACGACAAATAAAGAACCTCTGACTCTGTCGCTGACAATAGACACATGCAGAATCAAGCAACATTCAGAGCTTAGTCAAATAGAATAGACAGTCATGGCCATCTTTGTGAAAAAATATCCATTTTCATTTGTAGTTGGGCCGTCAGATGCTCCATCACATAGACATATTTCAATTTTTGCATCCATTGAAAAACACTTGGTGAGCAGGGCTTAATCCAGTTTAGCGTAATAGTCTTTCTTGTCACCAGCAACAGGATGTGCAATATGTAACACTGATCTTTAGTGAGTAAATCCTTGAGGTATATGTCCAGCAGAACCAGAAGAGGGTCCATGGAAAGATCTGTCCTTAGAATGCAACAAAACCTAAATATTTTGGAATCATTTAGAAAGGTGGATCACACTGAAAATTACACTTTCTGAATCTATTTCCAGAGATATGGTAACATTTGGAGTATTATTGAAGAACAAAAAAATGGAACTCAGTTGTAATTTGATATTTTGTCTGGCAAAATTATTTTTTCATAAACAAAGAGCGCTGAGATCATCCCCAGTTTTTAACATTTTTTATCTGAATTCCAATTATATTCAAAATCTCTGAAATATATTGAAACATATGAAGACATGTATGAAGTGTTAATGGAATTGCCCGCTAATGCATGTTAATCCTAATCCTAAAATATATACCCCCCTTGTTGTAGTTTTTTATTATTTTTTCTTTTCTTTTTTTAATTTTGCCTCATCATTATTTAATCAGGTTTTGTCTTGATGCTCCCATATCTAAGTCTGCCTCTACTATGCCCGTTTTAGATATACACTATTGTGAATCGCCAGACTTGTTTTTGATAAATAAATAATAAAAAAAAAAGATCTTTACTTAGAATGTCCTACATCTTCTGTTCAATATTCTCCCAAAAGGTCTTAACTTTTGGGCAGTCCCAAAAGACGTGTTTGGTCACCGACCATACCACAATTACTCCAGCATTTATCTGTAGCTGTACTCTTGGAAATTTACAAAAAAAGTACTAAAAAAGTTTTTAGTGGAGTTTAAAAAAAATCTAATTTTCATTTTCCAGTCAAACTCTTTCCAGACCTGGCCCCCGATCTCTTTATGGCATTGAGAACAGACATTTTCCCATGATTCATCTGTTAATATTACAGTCATCTCCAGTTCCCACTGTTGTTTAATATGTAATGTGTTATCTGACAAATTAGTCAACGATGACCTCAGAACGTTGTATAAGATCAAGCATAAGGTCATTCATTCATTCAACCTTTATTTCTACAGGTAAATCCCACTGAGCCTCGAGGACTCATTTACAAGAGAGACCTGATTTCAGCAAAGAATGATGACAACAATGGACAGTTATAAAAAGGCATACAGATTATTTTATTTTTTTACAAATAAGATACAATACAACTTTACAATACAACTTTATTTATAAAGCACTTTAAAACAACACCGTTGGCCAAAGTGCTGTACATTAATACATACAAGCATAAAAACTATGAACTCAACAAATACCATAAAGTAATGAACTACCAAATCATAAAGCAGCAAACAGTAACAACAATAAAACAAATAACATAAAACAGTAAAGCCAACATTTCAAGCTGCGTTAAAAGCCAACGAGGAAAAAAAGAGTCTTCAGAGCAGATTTAAAAACAGGAAGTGAGTCATCTTGTCTGACGTGCAGAGGCAGCTCGTTCCACAGTTCAGGGGCAGCGACTGAGAACGCTCGGTCACCTCTCAGCCTCCTGTTGGACTTTGGGACGGCCAACAGCAGCTGATCAGCTGATCTGAGAGAGCGTGAGGGATTGTACGGCTGGAGAAGGTCGGACAGATACTGTGGGGCGAGACCATGAAGACATTTGAATACAAACAAAAGAAGCTTAAAATTAATCCGGAAACAAACTGGGAGCCAGTGTAGTGATTTTAGGACAGGGGTGATGTGCTCTCGGTTTCTGGTGCCAGTTAAAAGACGAGCAGCAGCGTTCTGAACCAGCTAAAGTCAAGTCAGTAACGACTGGCTCAGACCCACATAAAGTGGATTACAGTAGTCCAGACGAGTTGTGATGAAAGCATGGATTAAAATCTCAACATTATGTTGTGACAGGAATGGTTTCACCTTGGCCAGTTGTCTCAGGAGATAAAAGCTGGACTTGACCACAGATTTAATCTGAGCATCCAGTTTAAAATCACTGTCCAGCCTCACACCCAGGTTGGTTGCTGTCTCAGTCAGATGTTTGGTTAGAGGACCCAGATCAACATGGACTTTAGAACCATCACTGGGCTTAAACAACGAGACCTCTGTCTTTTTCTCATTAAAGTGTAAAAAGTTCTGTGACATCAATGCT